CACCCACGCGCGCGCGCACGCCCGCGCCCACACCCGCCCACCAACAAACACCAGGGGGGGGGGGGGGGGGGGGGGGTGCCTGGGTCCCTTTGTGTGTGGCTTCGCGCCCCTGGAGACCTTTTTGGTTCCTCTTCCCCCCCCCACCGAGGAAAGTTGACACCTGCCTGGCGAAAAGAAACGCGGGTTCTTGTGAGCCGTAACCCTCGCATTAAAGAGTGACGAGCGTGCTCCTCTGTTGTTCTGTGTTTAATATCTTAGACCATGCCTTGACACGAGTGACACCCTAAGGGAATGAGCATTTCCCCGTTCAAGTCAACACATCCCCGAAAAAAAAAAACCCTGCGGTGCTCGAGTTTTAAAATTAGGAAATTCTCTCTGGCCGAATTGACCAGCGTGGGAAAAACGTTTTGTGATAGGGCACACACTGGGACTGCGGAGGAACTGAGTGGATCACTTGACGGGCCACGTAAATTAAGCAGCGTTTGTCCAAGCGCAAACACGAAGCTTTCTCTCCAACAGAATCGTGAAAAGAACATAGGTTCTGCCATTCGCTGAGAGCTCAGCCGTGTCTTTAGCTAAGTCAAACTCTGCAGAGCGTTTGATCAACTGCCTTGAATATGATAGGGACTCAGTAAATGTTCACTTTTCCCTCAAGAACTGGCACCCGCCTTAAGAAACTTAATACTAGAAACTTAAGTGAAAACAGTTATTTCATATACCCCACCATATAAATTGTGATCTTAGAATATAGAAAATACCTCTGATCTTTTCCCTACCTCACTGTTACTAAGTGCACCCATCCCCTGACTAAGAGCTGCCTCTTAAAACATTCTGGTGTTTGTTTTTAAACTACTTCATGCAAATGTACTGCTTTATTCATTCTCACAGCTGCTGTACACCAGGTCCCTAATTGCCTGACATTATGCTAATGATGGAGAAAGCCTTTACCCTCGGGGACTTTAGAATTGAATAGAGGAGGAAGACATAATTACAGTTGAATGCCACAGAAAAGACATTCAAAGGGACCTAATTTAGCATTGGAAAGTCAAAGGACACTTCACAAAAGAGGTGACATGTCAACTGAGACCAAAGGATGACATAGGTTTGGTCCTCTATAGTGAAGCAGTTTCTGTTTTGTTCCAAGAGTACTTGAGAAGCCCCAAGAATGTAAAAAGAATAGCATGATTCTATTTCCATAATAAAAAAGCCTTCTGGCTGCAGGGTAGAGTTGAGAGTGGTACTTGAGGTGCTAGTCAAGCATCACCAGAGGTGAATTTGATGAGAAAGGAGCCTATTGTAGAATGTTAATTTATCTGCTATTTCCTTCACAGGGAAATCATGCTGTATGGCAACTGAACTGAATACTGCTGCTTAGTTGTGGGTACAGGAGCCCTGAATTAGAGGAGGTGAGAGAGTTGAATGAGAAGAAAAGAGGAAGCTGTAACAAAAGGGAGGCCAAGCCTAGTGTGGTGATAGATGTGTATAATCTCAGAAATAAGAAGAAAGAGACAGGGATGTCATTAGTCTGAGGCTGGCCTGAGCTCCATAGACCCTTTCTCAAAATAAAATTTAAATAAACATGGGGAATCCATCCAGTGGCGTTGAACAGGATGTTCTTGGCAGTAGGGTGGACAGAAGTAGACCGGTATTGAGAAATGTTTGAGGAGAATTTACTGGATTTGGTAATCGGATGTGGAAGATGAAAAGGAGTTGTCTAGCCACTAAAAGCAGTGGAGAGCTGGGTTTGGTGGCTAACAGCTATAATATTAGAATATGAGAGGCTGAGCCTGGAGGACCCACCCCAAGGTCCAGGCCTGTCTGGACTACAGAATAAAACTCTTGCCTCGAAGAAGAAGAAAAAAAAAAAAAAAAGATGCACCATGTACATACTGTTCATCTAATGTGAAACTAGCATTTTTATGGTAGTCTTAGAAATTAAGGTCTTTATAATTGCTAGGCTGGCACATTCCTATATTCCATTTACATGGGAGTATGTAGAAGCATCACCATGAGTTCAAAGCCAGCCTGAGTTACAGAATGAATTTGAGGCCTTGCTGTAAAATAAGACCCTGTTTCCAAACATAACAAGCAAAAGTAAACCAAAAAAAAGGGTTCTAAAATAGCATTATAATAAAAATGTATTCCTGTTTTCATAAATTCAAATAGTATTTAACTTCTCTTATAGGACATAGATGTGGGTGTGGGTGGGTGTGGGTGGGTGGGTGGTGTGTGTGTGTGTGTGTGTGTGTGTGTGTCACTATGTAGCCCTGACTTGTTAATGCTAGATATGTAGACCAGATTGGCCTTAAACTCACAGAGATCTGTCTGTCCTTACCTCCCAAGTATTTCCATTAAAGACATGTACCACCATGCCTGGCCAATGTAGACTTCTTTATCAACCTGAACAATTGTGTTGCCAAGGGCCTGGAGAGATGCTCCTGGGTTAAGAATGCTTACTATTCTTACTGAGGCCTGGGTTTGCTTCCCAGCACCCACATGCATGACAGCTCATAGAGCAGGGGATCAGACTCCTCTTGTGACTTCCTTGGGCTCTTGCACACAAAGTTACATTCAGGCATGTACACATACAAATAAAAATCATTTTTAAAATTATGTTGCCTAAATTTATTTTCAATTTTTTTTAAAGATTTTATTTATTATGTATACGACATTCTGCTTCCATGTATATCTGCACACCGGAAGAGGGCACCGGGTCTTATAACGGATGGTTGTGAGCCACCATGTGGTTGCTGGGAATTGAACTCAGGACCTCTGGAAGAGCAGTCAGTGCTCTTAACCTCTGAACCATCTCTCCAGCCCTATTTTCAATTTTTTATACATCTTAACCTATCCCAATCTACATCTCCTTCATAACTTACTAAAATTGCCTCTTTGAACATGGCCTTTGTGTCTCATTTTTAATGATGTGATCTTTCTTACTCAGTGAAGCAATTTATACTTTTAAATTGTCACTAGTTTTATGAATTATGCCCTTTGGGTTTCTTTCCTTTGTTTCACCGTCTTCTACTAACCTTTCTCAAAGTCTTAACAGAATGATTCACTTTGTGTTTCTGTGTCCCACCTGTGATCTGTGTTCTAAAAGATTCCCCAAACAGTAGGAGTCCTTATCTCTACTGAGTAAAAGACTATGTGGGCTAAATGAGTACTTTCTGCATCCTCTGCCTACCCCATAGATTCACTATCGGTAGTGAACTGCCATCCAACAAACATACTGATTCCGGAATTCCCCTGTTCAGTAAGTGAAATACCATCCACCCAACAAGTTGGAAACAATCCAACTTGATGCATCACTATTCCCTCCTGACTGGATATTGTAACAGCATCTTAACTGGTTTCCTGGCTTCCATTCATGTACTTCTAACCACCATACTATAATCAATGGTCTATAGCTCCATAGTAGCAGTTGTCTTTTCATGAAAGGGGGAAAGCCCCAGTTTGCAGTATTTACCCAGTTTCTAAGATGTATTTACTCTCACCAAGCTTGGCTTCAAGCCACCAACATGACATGACTAATTGTGGAGCTACGAAGAGATGTACAATATCATCCCTATCTATTGTGGTTCTACCATATGGATACAGTAGACATAAGTAACTTTAAAAAATAGAAATCGGGCCTGGAGAGACAGCTCAGCAACTAAGAATGTTTACTGCTCTTCCAGAGCTCCCAGGTTCAGTTTCCAGCACCTGAATCAAGCAACCCAAGCTGCAACTCCAGCTCTAAGGGATCTAACTTCTGGCCTCCTCGGGACCCTGGGGTTGTGTGTCCCTTTTGGCTTGTCAATGACACTTTGTGTTTCAATATTTTTGACATAGAAGACCCTCCGTGTATGTTTCATGTCCTGTTCTTGAAATACTATAATTCATTATTCTCACTTAAGGTCCTTTCTTAGGTCCTTGTGAGTAAATCAGTATGTGCTATTCCATACACCTCCATACTTACTCCTTTACAAAAAACCTACTATGCCACTAAGCTAAGCATTTACATGTTCTAATCTTTAAAAGAAATGTGTGCACGTGAATTAGTTGTTCTGTCATCCCTGTCCCCTCACCCCCACCCCAGACGGTCTCTCGTTTACCCAAAACTTTCCAGACTTGGTCACTGATACAGGGGTCCACCAGAGCTGTCTTTTTAGCCCCTTAGAAGGATTTCTACCTCACATTACCGATGAGAGAAATAAAATACTTGGGACTGGCAATGTATCTCAATGGTAGATACTTATTTACTATATGTGAAACCCTGCTTCTGATCCTAGCACCATTAACTCCAAAAAGGGGATCTAAAAAAGTTAAGTAAATTTGCCTGCTGTGTCCAGATACTGTTTGAAGGAGCTGGCCTGGTTGTCCAACAACAATGTTCTCAGCCTCTCCCCTAACATGTTAGGACTACTTGATTCTTTACCTTCTCAATTACAGTACACACTCAGAGGGTGGACTTTTTTTTTATGATCACCACATGTACAATGTGTTATTTAAATGTAAGCAAAATAGCATTGCTCAAACTATTGAGTGATTTTTTTTTCCAATGCATGTAAACGTTTATAAAACCCTGGGTATGTTGTGTGAACAAGAATATATATATCCATCTGTTACCTTCATGTGAATTTGTTGATATTTATAGGATGTTTTTATTATTTAAATTTAGCCAATGAGCTACATCTACCCTTGAAATATACTGTGAAAAATCCAGATAACATATTCAAGGACCAGGCAGATTTAGATTTGCACAGGCATGTAATCCACAGGAGGTCAAGGTCATCCTCAGCTACGTAGTAAGTTTGTTGTCAGCCAGGGTGACATTAGAGTCTAAAAAACAAAACAGATAACACCTGTAAAACATAATTTTAAATTATGCTCTAAGAACCAGCTTTGGTGGCACATGCCCACCATCCCAGCACTCAAGGTGGAAGCCAACTGACCCCAAATAATACTGCTCATCTTCACTGATTCCCTAGTAAAATTAAGTATACTTAACCAGGATTGACAAACCATTAAATGATGAAGAGTTCATTAAAATGAGAACAGATTAGGATATAAATTAAACCAAATGCAGTTGCCCAATCATGTAATGTACCACTTGGAAGGCGAGGCCCATGGACTGCAGAGTTGTAGGTTAGCCTGAACCACATAGTGCGCTGCAGTCCAGCCTGGCTTAGGTAGGCCCTATCTCAAAGAGCTCAGACAGCAGAGGGAACTGAGACCTGAGCAAGGCTGGTAAATTTGTCAGAGCCTATCTTCCGAGGAAATGAAAGATATAAAAACATTGTGAGCCGTGGAGTGACGGCACATCTGCAGGGCACGTGTGTTGTGAGGAAGGCTATTTGAGTACATTGGGCTTTCATCCATACTCCTCATCACTGGCAATGTGTGGAGATTAATTCCATACATGTGATAGGCCTTCTGAACCACATGTTCTCACATGGGTGTGTTGGTTCTTTTTATACACAAATTAGTACATATGGAGGATGTAGTAATCAACCAAAGAAGATTTAGAAGCTGGCAGAATGGCTCATGGAGCAAAGGTATTTGCCATGAAAAGCAATCTGATTTTGATCCCAGAACGCATGCAAAGGCTGAAGGAGAAAAGCCACCTCCAGCAGCTTGGCCTCAAACCTCCATTTGCAAGCTGGCACGAATGCCCAAGCACATATATTATACACATATTCCAAAGGAAGCTTTTTAGCACTCAGGTATTTATTGTGTATCTTTGGGAAAGACTGTACATGTTATGGTCTGCCTGTGAAGACAGAGGACAATTTGTGGGAATTGTTTTTTCTCTTCCCACCTGGTGGGTCCAAAAAATCACACTCAGGTTATGAGGTTCAGTGGTAAGTGTTCTTACCTAATGAGTCATCTCACTTGCCTTAAATTTAAAAAAAAAAAATTATAATTGAAATTTAACTGTACGTGGATGTTTATTCTTACATTTCCAAGTCAATTAACAAAGAATTATTAGAATTTCCAGAAACTGCCCTTTATATTCGCGTCTTCCTTAAACAGTTTGTGTTAGATGGATGTATCTTTTGTGTTTGAAATAAATATGAAAGGAAAAGGACAGCTTAAAGATCACTTACCTTTTTATGATTGTTTCCTGCTATGCTGCATAGCTCCAGAAATTTTTCAAACGCAGCTTAACTACAGAGAATTCAGTGAATTCTTCATATATTCTGTATTTGCATTAATATGTCAAATTTTTTTGAGTTCTTATTGTTTGCAAGGCATGGTTAAAGATAAGCAGATAAATAATAATAGCAATCGATTTCCTCAAGAAACTTACAATTTTGGGGCCAGCAAGATGGCTCAGTAGGCAAAAGCCCTTGCTAAGGGCTAGGTCGGAAGGAATGTCTCTTTTTAAATTCTTGAAAAATAGAGCTAAGAGTTTTTGTCTATTAGAAACATAAAAATTATTATAAATTGGCATCTGGAGATTGTTTAATTTTTTTCCATAAATGAGGGACTTTTAAATTTTAACTATTAAGTACAACAAGAGCAGGAGAGTCGGAGTTTGAGTTGCTTTTTGTTTGCTTGTTTCAAGGTTTCCTTTGGATCCTAAAAGAAGAAAAGAATGGGTTCGCCTGGTTAGGCGCAAAAACTTTGTGCCAGGAAAACACACTTTTCTTTGTTCAAAGCACTTTGAAGCCTCCTGTTTTGACCTAACAGGACAAACTCGACGACTTAAAATGGATGCTGTCCCAACCATTTTTGATTTTTGTACCCATATAAAGTCTATGGTAGGTGATGCCACTCTCCTTTCTTCAAACATGTTTTAGATCCTAGTACTTTTTGTTTGTGCAAGTGAGCAATTCACATTGTGCTAAAATGAGTGTGCAGTGACACGCCTCAAAAAAGTAGAGCTTCCTCTTGTATAAGAGAGGTACAGGCTAGAATTAGGACTTGGGTCTCCTGACTCCAATTTTGTTTCCTCTGAAAGGCCAAACAAATTTCAGATTTTGGACTTCTGGATATCCAAATTTAAGAATGCCCAGCAGCTAAAAATCTATGCAAGTTCTCAAAGTCTGTAACACTTGTGGTCCAAGCACTTTGCATATGGGGCGCTTGACCAGAATTGCAGCCTTACATAACTAAAAATTTTTGTAAATATCAGTAAATGTACCATTGACAAAAACAAAAAGATTAGTAATGACACCTTCAGAGTCATTCTGTTCTGATTGTAAGATGACAAGCAAGTGGTGTGCTAGTAAGTCCTTTAGGGACACACAGTTATGACAAGAGATGGTGATTCAGGTCGAGGCTTTAAAAAAAAATCTATAGGGCTTGTTCAGTTTAGGATTGAGGCCTTGGGAGTTTGGAACACTGGAGATTTTTGACCATGCATAGGGCAACTTAGTCAGATGCTAAAACTAAAGCCAGCAGCTTGAGAGATGAGTAAGAAATTATCAAATTCATTTGAAAGAAAAGAGAGAATTAGGTGCAGGGTGAATGAATTAAAACAAGTTTAAACCTGGCTGGTGGTGCATACCCTAAATCCCAGCACTCTGAGGCAGAAACATTTGGAGCTCTGTGAGTTCAAGGCCAACCAGGTCTACTTATTGAATTCCAGGGCATAATGAATTTGAGACAGGGCAGACCCTGTCTCAAAAATAACACAAACAAAACCACCTGGTTTAAGGCTGCAAATACAGCTCTGTGGTAGAGTGTGTCCAAAGTTTGACGCCCAACACCAGAGGAAAGAGACAAGAGGAAGAAGGAAACGTTGATCTGATTAGAGAAGAAAAACTGAGAAAGTCACCTAAAGAAAAGAAAAGGTAGGGGTGGGGGGATTTGAAAAAAGGGCATCTTCCCACTGAGAAAGAAAAGCTATTGTTTAACTGTGACTATGAATTTGGAAGTGGACGTGAGTTAATATTTTAATGGGTGAGAAGGTTGTGTATTACTGCTGCTGCTGCTGCTGCTGCTGATGGTGATGATAATGATGATGTTAGAAAAGCTACAGAACAGCAAGAGCTTTATTTCTAAATAGCCCAAATTTGAGCACCTCAAAGATTACCCCCCCCCCCGTATGCACTACATATTGAAATTGAAAGGTACCATCAACTGGCACAGAGAATGCACTTTTGAACTTCAAGTGCTGAGGAGGTAGAGGCAGAGGAGCAGTTCATCTGCTCCATAGAAAGGTCCACACCAGCGTGGGCTATGTGAGGCATTATCTCAAGAAAAGGAAAGAAGGAACCTTTCTCTAACATTTGGTCATTTATTTATCCAATAACTATTAAACTTTTCATTATGCCAGAATCTGCTAAATGCTGAGAAAATGAAGAGCAAGGGAAGCTCTGACATTTCTCTATAAGCAGAGGCCAGCCGTAGGTTTTTGTTAGTAGAAACTATAACTTATTCTATATTATTTCCCCAGAATTAATGTTTCAATAAGTGGTTGGGTTGTTTTTTGCTTTGCTTTGTTTTTTTTTTTTTTTTGTTTTGTTTTGTTTCTTTGTTTTTGTTTGGAGAGACAATCTTGCTATTGAGGTAGCCCAGACTATCTTCAAACTCTAGCCCAAGCTATTTTTTTAAGATTTATTTTATTTTATGCGTATTGGTGTTTTGCTTGAGTGTATATCTGCATCACAAGTCTGCCTGGTGCCTGTGGAAATAAGAAGAAGACAATGGATCTCCTGGGAAAAATGGAGTCACAAACAGCTGTTAGCCACTATATAAATGGTGGCAATCAAATCTGGGTCCTTTGGAAGAGCATCCAGTGCTCTCATACCTAGCCATCCTGCATCCCTACAAGCTGTTCTTGAACTAGCCATCCTTCTGCCTCTACCTCCAAAATGCAAAAATGGTTTTGTTCTTTATATTTTGGCTTTTTCGAGAGAGTTTCACTGTGTAGCTCTAGACTAGCCTTAAATTAATGGCATTCCTGCCTTAGCTTCATGAGTGCAGGGATCACAGTGCATACCATTATACCTTGAATGAATGTTTATATAAGTAAAAGACACAATTATGAGAAGATGTGATACAATAGGCAAACAAGTGGTTTAATATTTCTGGAGTATAGTGAACAAAATAATCCTTTGCCTTCAGGTTTGGACAAAAATAAAAATCCTAGCCAGATTTTAAAACTTTGAAGATTTAGTATAAGTAAATCTGTTTGGGAACTTGATACCTAAGAATAGACCTCTATAGATATGTGAGTTTTTGTTTATGTAGATTCCAGGTATGAACTTTTCATCAAATTGAGAGACTAATACCTAACAAAAAGCAGATAAGATCAGTACCATAGATAAATAAAATGTCTAAACAAATTCTAGTTTGGACTTAATAAGAATTGAAAAAGAGTTTTAAAACCTCCAAAAAATCATATGGAATAATGTGGAAGATACCTTGAAAATCCACTGCTTATTTCTAAATCAATGTTTGAATGTCTCTGTAGATAAAGGGCATAAGGAAATGGTAACTAGCCAGGCATGTCGGCACAGACATGCCTTTAATCCCAGCACTCAGGAGATCAAAGCAGGTGGATCTCTTTGAGTTCAAGGCCACCCTGGTCTACATAGCAAGTTCTACGACAGCCAGAGCTGTCTATGTAGAGAGCCCATGTCCGGAAAATGAAAAGTACAAGGTGACTAAATAGAGTTCATTCAGCCTACTGAGAAACTCTAGCCATGGTTACATGAGATAGTATGCTGTTGTTGCCCATTAAACTTTAAAAACAGTTGTTAAAAGAGCAGTTTAAATGCTGTGTTACTCAGAACTGGACACTGTTTACTTATTTGTGATATCCATAATTTATATTAAACTCTCTGTTCGGCTCAGAAACTCAAGTCAAGGAATCTTTTGAAGAAAAACGACAGTTTTACTCCAAGTGGACCATGTACTTTAAAGCCAAACAGTCAGCAAGTACTGCTTGAACACAGTTATGCTTTTAGGAACCCTATGGAGGCGAAAAAACGGATAATTAAACTAGAAAAAGAAATAGCAAGCTTAAGAAGAAAAATGAAAATGTGCCTGCAAAGGGAACGCAGGGCAACTCGGAGATGGGTCAAGGCCACCTGCTTTGTGAAGAACTTAGAAGCAAGTAACATGCTGCCTAAGGGCATTGCAGAACACATTTTACCAACTGCCTTAAGCAGTCTTCCTCTGGAAGACTGCAAACTTCTTGAGCAAGATCAACAAGGTAAAACATTACCAGTTCTCTAAGTCTAAAACAGACAAGAAGATCTGCATTCAAGTTTTCATTACACAAAACCTGATGCCCATCTTTCAGTCTTCTCATTGTCGAGGATACTTACTGCAATTGTACGCAAATCAAGTACTTAAAGTTTACTTGAAGTAACAAGTCATTATGTAATGTATGCATGGAGACTCGAGTCTAAGAACAATGGGAAAATTGAGCGACAACTTTGAGAATGAGCGGAAGTGCCTTACATGAGGATCATGTACTTAGACACTGTCTTCGGAAACACTGTTTTTGCAGAGTGTTTCTGCTTTTGTTTTTAAACTGCTGTCAAATAGGTATGACAAATGGTATGTTCATATGAGGGAAACATTCTACGCCAAAGTTGGGATATTATATTCTAAAGAACATTTGAAGTAGGAGCTAATCATATTAAATGTGAACTTAAAACTACTGGATTTGTATTAATTAAATTATTGGGATTAATTAAATTAATTAATTAAATTATTGGGATTGTGGTTGAAAATTTATAGAATAAAACCTCTGGGGTACAGGGCAATTTTTTTTTCTTTTTTAACTTTTTGTATTTTTTTTAACCAGTCAAAGTAAGCTTATCATGGCCTTCCTATAAGAACATTGGACCTAAAAGTAGGTTGCAAAATAATTTGAAAATAATATTTTGAATGTGAAATATCCTTGAGACTCCAAGTTAGGTGAGGCCTCAAGTACCTCAGACTGGGAAAAGCCGGTGAGTTATACCCAGTTTCTAAGAAAATAGATGAAAATAATGCAGAACTCGGGATCTAGCTTTTACTTTAACAAAATTAATAGATAAGTGTAAATTATTCTTCTTATAATAAAAATACTGAATTTCCACCTTCATAACTGATAAAATTAATAAACACATTAGACCTGTAGCCATTTGTTCCTTGTATTGATAGCAAATACTTAAGCTATTATTTCCTTTTTTACACTAGTTTCTAGTTGTCTTTTCTATGTCAAAAATAGCTTTTGGCCCCCCACTTGATAAATCACAGTATAATTTAATCACAGGAAAGTACTTTAACTATGTTGTGTTAAGTTAAAACAAAATCTATTTATCTAACCCATCAACTTGCCCTTTTACTTTTTTTTGTTTTAGAAAATCAACCTTACTTCATAATGGAAATAAAATACAGTTCTCTAAAACAACAATGTGTGTCTCTGTGATGAAGCTATGCAAATACTGATTATTTATAAAATACAAGTATCGAGTTTGTTCCTCTAGGTGCCACTTGCACCTTGGAAAGGCCTGCCTTATGTCACTAAATATTCAAGTAAGAGCCCGTCCTTCAAAAAGCTTTGGCCAAGTAATATAAAAGTGGACTCATATAAGTGAGTTATTCAGTTCTACTTTGTCTTTGTGAGATTACCATTGACAGTAACATGCCTGATTTTAAAGAACTATAAGCCTTTTCTACAAAGAAATGGACTTCTCAAAAAAAAATTCTTCTAAAAAAAGAAATGGAGTTCTGATTTTTTGCAAACTTTTGGGTTGCCTCTTTTTCTCCTCCAGTTGTCCATCTCTCTTTAGTAAGTAATGTCTTCCCTGCAAATGCAATGGTAGGACGTGTCTCTACCATGTGATACTTATACATGCTTTACAATCCCTTTGCCTTGTTAGTTATACTTAAGTATTGGATGTAGTTCCTTGGCTTTGTCATTGTATATTTTTCCTAACACTGTTTCAGATATCTATATGACATCTCGAATATCAACAGCAAACACACTGACTGTACCTACTTGATAGCCTAAAATAAGCTGTGTAACTAATCATACTAACATAACCTATATTCTCCAAGTGTATACTTTCATGTGGTTGACCTGTGTACCCCAAGCAACAACTATTAATTAATGTCCAGTTACTACCTACATACAGTATCTTTATATCTTAATATAGTTTTAAATCATAAATATTCAACATTACAAAATGCAACAAGATTTTGGCAAAGATACTTTGTCTTCATTGTTATATATGCTACACTTTAGTTTCTTTGGGAGTTTTGTGTGCTGGGAATTAAACCCAGGGCCTTGTGCATGTGTACTCTACCACTGAAACATATCCCCAATCTTTTTCATTCACTATTATTTGACACCAATGAATAAACAATCCTCAGCAATTGTAATTTCCTGTGTATTTTCTCCATGTTATTTTCCTGTTAACATGCTTCGAAATCACAACAGCTGTTCCTCAGTTGTAAGTCACAGATCTTCTATTTATCTAGTGTGTCTACAGGCCACTAACCTTTACAAAGAGGATGGGACACAGCTTAAGGTTAGAAACCTGATATGAAGATGAATACTGGGCTGGGAAATGTGGCTTATGTTTAGCATGCATGCAGCCCAGAATTGAAACTCCCACACCTGAAAAGGGGGTAAGTAAAATACTGACTGCCCTTAAGTTGCTGCAAGCTTTCTAAAAGAAACAGTGTTTGGAATATAAGATAAATTCCATTAAAAAATAGATGTAAAATGCTTTGGCACATACTGTTGAGTTGAAACTTAATGGAAAACATAGCAACTTTAGACCTTTTTACAACCAAGTGATTTTCTTTTGAAATCAGACATTTTTTTTTTTCTGAGGATGACTTATCAAAGGAGCATAGAACGATAGAGTTTGGTCTGAGCTCAGTGTTACTTGGGTTGTAAGACATTGTACCCTTTAAGAAAACTGAACAAAATTGTAATGATAACTTTGCTGAAAGAAAAACACAGCTTCAAGTAGGTCAAAGCTAAGTACTGGAGTGTTTGAAACTTGATATTTTGGGGAAAAATAATGCTAATGACAGGTTTCTGTAAAAAAAAAATTTAAAGAAAATTCTTTTTAAAAAGTTATCCATTCTTCCTCTTTTTCTGTACAAGCTGGATGCACACAAGAAGGTATCTTTGTTTACTCACTAAAACATTATTCTGCCCCACCATCGCAATAGACATCTTCGGCCTCCAAATCCATTCTGCCCTTGTGCTTTGATCCTTTAATGTATGTTATTAAAATAGGAAAAATCATGTGTTTCTGAAAAGCAAAAGATAAACTTTAAATGTATTAAAGATGTTTATGAGATCCTTGTTGATGGTGTCTAGGTAGACTTCATTATGTTGTTGTTTCTGTGTTAGAATACGGGTAAATTTTGATTTTGATATAATAGAGAAATTAATCTTTATATCAGGAGTGGGATTTTTTTGATATTTAGACAGTTGAATATTTTATAAAGTGAAGGATTTTGTAGTGTATATTAAACAACATTGTACTCACAAAAATGTATTTGAAATTTGTTAATATTAAAAAAATTTTTTCCAAGGAATTACTGTCATCCCTATTATTTCTAGAGGGTGAATATTTCTGGAAAGGTCCTTACCCTAATTTTAAACCATAAAAATTCCATAGTCTTCCTTCTCTCTAAGTTGAAGCAAAATTGTAAAACAGGTAAAAATAAGGTATGCTTTAATGACAAATTAGTTTCACATTGTTACTAAATATACATTATCAAGCCATTTGAATTGTTTATGCATTCTAAGCTAGCTACACCAAGGACTGTAAAAATCCCCGTGGGGTTTGGATATAGTTGAGTGGTGGAAGTACCTACCTACGATATACAAAGCTCTGAATTTGATTGCTAGCACTGAAACAAAAATAAATGCATTTTCTTTATAGTTCTTTGACAATAACTTGAGGCATGCAAAAGACAGTGATAGATACAAAAATCAGAGCATTGTTTTAATAGTATTCTCTAATGCTTTAATTATAAAAATAGTATTTTAAGATTTACTAACAGATACTTTGCATATAGGATGAAGAGATGAGATGTAGTCCCTGTTAATGTTTTCATTAACTTTTCTCATCCCTACTATTCCCCACTCTTAGGAATTAAGTGGAATTCAACAAATCAGTTTTCATGCAGCCTATCTTCTTAAAATTCATTCTCCAAAAGTTAGAATGAAATTCAATGTCAATAGATGATATATATGTCTGAGATAAGCTTTCAGTTTAGTAAATTCTGTAGCAAACATTCTAACTCATCTCTGTTAAGTGCTCTTGATTATGTTAGACTTCTGTTTTTTCCTCTTTTTAACTCCCAATCTTTTACAGAGGTCCTTTCCCATACAGTGTTCACTTGACGTTTTGGGGGTTTTTTTGTTTTGGTTTGTTGGTTGCTTGCTTGCTTGCTTTGTTTTGTGTGTTTCGGCAGTACTAGGGACTGAACAGTGGGCCTCCTGCCTATGACACCAGCGCTTTACCATTGAGCTGCTGCCACCACCAGGCTTGTCACCACCTTTCAAGTCAGAGCTCAGTGTGTCTGTCTCTTCCTCTCTTCTCTCTTCTTCCTCCTCCTCTCTCCCTGTCCCTTCTCCCTTCACTGTGGATAAGCATGAAGTAATAAGTGCTTTCTCTTTGAGTCCTGTTTTATATGTATGTATGTATTCATGCATGTATAACTTATTCTTCCTATAAGTGTTTGAACATTGTCTTCAATCCATGTTCCTTTAAGGCATAATGGTGGGGTTAATTTTGCTTTTCACTTTTGGGTCATAAAACTTTTTTTTTTTTTGGGGGGGGGGGTTCAAGACAGGGTTTCTCTGTGTAGCTTTGAAGCCTATCCTGAAACTAGCTCTTGTAGACCAAGCTGGTCTCGAACTCACAGAGATCCACCTGCCTCTGCCTCCTGAGTGCTGGGTCCTGGCTCATAAAACTTCTATATGTATTATATACTTAAATATTAGCAGATTTCAGAAAATCTAAATTACTTTCATGGCTGATATTCACAAGATTGTACTTAGACAGAATGGTAGTGCATGGCCTTTAATTGCAGCCCTTGGGAGGCAGAGGCCAGAGGATCTCCCAGTCAGGTCACATGGAAAGTTAAAGGACAACCAAGTCTAATAGTGAGACCCTGTCTCAAATTATGATGATAATGATGATAGATTAAAAACAAAGCACTTTATACTGTTACTACCCAGCAATCAGTGCATTTTCCCATTGAGATAATTTTCATAATTGTTAAGTACTCAATGTCTGTCCTAAAGAAATCCCTGCTTCTTTACATCAAAGAAAACTTATATAGTCATTTATATTGTGAAACTTAAAGCAACAATGAACTTTCAGTATGTCCTATGATTGCAAAGCCCAAATGTCATACTTCCCATGGGAAAAGAATCAATGCTAACGACAAAAATAACCCTTGGGAAGATTTGAACAACCATTCTTAACTTCACAGAGCCTTTAATAATGCACTTGCCACTGACCTATGAGGATTCCAAATTTCTCACCCTTAAATTTAACTGAAGGTATGTGTGTAGGCCCAGGGAGGACATATATGTTTGAATACCTTGAATGATACAATTTAGGAAAAGCATAACTAGAGATTCTGTTGCTTGGGAGGCTGCAGAATTTTCTTGGTAGGTGAGAGCACTTACTGTTCTTGCAGAAGACCTGAGCTCAGTTCCTATATGGTAGCTCACAATCGGGTGCCTGTGACTCCAGTTCCAAGAGACCCACTGTCCTTTTGCAACCCTGAGAGTTCCTGCACACACATCACACATTTACATGTATTTAACCCCACATACATACACATAAAAATTAAAAAACATGTAAAGAAACTCTTTTGCATGAAAATAGCTGTTAAAGATTTTGTTGACATTTTTAGATTGGTAAAGTCTATAAAAAATAGCTCAGGGGTTAAAGAAATGATGGCTGGGCTTGGTGGCGCACACCTTTAATTTCTAGCACTTGGGAGACAGAGACAGGTGGATCTCTATGAGTTAGAGACAAGCTTGGACTACTTTGTGAGTTCCAGTTCAGCCAAGGCCATATAGTAAGACCCTGTCTTTTAAAAATAAAAAGGGATCCAGGTGGTGGCACATGCCTTTAATTAATCCCAGCACTTGGGAGGCAGAGACAGGAGAATCTCTGTGAGTTCAAGGCCAGCCTGGTCTACAGAGCGAGTTCCAGGACAGCCAGGGCTGTTACACAGAAAAACTCTGTCTTAAAGAGGCCAAAAAAAATTTCTTAGAAATAAAAAGGGACACTTGGTGCCTTTGCAGAGAACCAGTGTTCAGTTCCCAGAACCAAGGTGGCACACCTCTCAATTCTGTAACTACAACTACAGGGAATCCAACGCCCTTTCTGGCCTCTGAGTATGCCCAAACACATGTTATATACACCCACACATACACACAGATAAACATACACATAAAAATAAATCTTAAAAATTTTTAAATACTTTGAGTTAATAGATAAGAGAAGGGCTGGAGTGATGGCTTAGCAGTTAAAGGTACTTGCTGCTCTTGTAGAAGACCCAAGTTCAGTTCCCAGAACCCACATGCTGGATCACAATAGTTTATAACTCCAGTTACAGGGAATCCAATACCCTCTTCTGGTCTCCATGTGTACCAGGCATGCACATGGTGCACATACATACATGCAGGCAAAACATTCCTACACCTAAAATAAAACATAAATCCTAAACATATTAAGAATACTTTCAGTATGTTTTGAGAAGTCTCAACATGTAATCCAAGGTAGTCTCAAACCAAACTCTCTGATTTCCTACCTTAGCCTTGATGCTGCTGGAATTCCAACCGAAATCTTACTAAGGATTTTTTTTTTTTCCTACACCAGTGTGATTTGAATGAAAATGGTCCCCAGAGGCTCATATATTTGCATACTTAGTGCCCAGTTCATAAACTGTTTGATATGCAGCCTTGTTGAAGGAGATGTGTTCCTTGTTGGAGGTGTGTCACTGAGGGTGCTCTTTGAGGTTTCAAAATGGAGCCAGGCTCAGTGTGTCTCTCTGCCTGCCTGCCTGCCTGCCTGTCTGCCAATCAAGATGTAGCTCTCAGTTACCTCTCCAGCACCATGTCTCCCATTTGTGGCATCATACTCCCCACTGTGGTGATAATGGACTAGTGCTCTGAAACTGTAAGCAAGCCTCCAATTGAATGCTTTAAAAACAAATTAAACAAACAAACAAATATGATGTCTCCACAGCAAGAGAATCGTGACTAAGACAAGATTGTTTTATTATCTACCAGCAAAAGGGCAGGGTTGGAGAGGAAAGAAGTTTGCTCAGTTTAACACATATCACAAAAAGACAAATTGCAGCTAATTTTCCAAAAATGGGAGTGGGAGAGTATTCATTTGAAGAGTCACTTCTCTGTGCCAGCTCTGCCAGGATTCTTTGCTGAATTTGAGTTAGGACCTACAAAGAAGCCCGTAACACCGTGTACATGACACTTTTAACATGGTTTGTGCTTGAACACAGAGGGGAGATAGAGCCTTCTGATGAAGAAATCTTATATTCACAGAAAGACAGGTTCATATAGGCCCACAGTCAACTGTTGCACACAGTCCCAGGCTTTCTGCATACATACCTCATTGCTGTCAGTCTAATTGTCTACTTGTGAACACTGAGGTCTGAACTTACTTGTGAAGTCCTTGAATGTTACACCTGAAGGTGTCTGGAAGGCTTTGAGATGGGTGTCAGCAACTCCTGAGTCTGAGTCACTGATGAAAGTATTATTTTAAATAGCTGGTTAGGCAGGAAACTTTCATGAGGGAACCAGGGCCCTCCCTACTTTGCCTCAGTTATAAGGGAAACATCCTTAATTGGATGTTGGGGTGGGGTTGGGCGGGGGAGAAACACTCATTTGAGAACACATTTCACTGGTACTGTAATTTCATGTGTAATTTTAGGCAGACCTATACTGAGAAAGGGCACCCCTGACATCCACGCTGACAAGCCTAGGGATACAGCTCACTGGGAGAGCAATTACTGAGCAAGCATGAAGCCCTGAGTTGACACTCCAGTACTAAAACAGCAACTTCCTGTCATTAGACAACCTGGCAATGACAGTGAGACTACTGTTTTCTTTTAGAACAACAACTGAGCAGACAAGATTATCCTGTAGACTGATGAAGGAAAAAAAAAAAAAAAAGCCCAGGTTATAATTTTTCTAAGCAATACAAATTTTTTTTAATTAAAAATATTCGTACCTGTTGTTAGTAACTTGTTACCTAATAGTCTGGCAATAAAAATAGTGGCCAGGTAGTGTGATAGAGTAATACAAGTATTTACCTATGCAACAGATAACAGTGTATACAGTGAATTTTGGTAGAAGCCACGGTTTGTGCGGTTTGTGTTCTACCAAAGGAAAAACAGTCTTGGTGTATATCTTGAAATTTAAAATAGCATGAATTTTTTAATAATGCCCTTAGGCTGTAGAAATGTGAGCTCTTAAAGAGTGACTGGGTTATGTCACAGTTGTGTACCACACCTTAACAGTCCTGTCACCTCTGTCACACTGCCAAAGAATTAACTGGAAATTAACTGAAACTATGTGACTATTATTCCTATTTACTCAGACAAAATAACCCATAATCCGCCTGGGCCTCCTATGTTCTGGGATTATAAGCATGGGCCACCACATCCAGTGAGATCTCTGTTTTGAAACTGTGCCTGGGGAGATGACTCTGTGGGTAAAACACTTGTTGTGCAAGCCCGAGAGCCTAGGGTCGAATTCCCAGAACCAGGTAGGGCTGAAACAATTGGGACCTATCTATAAAAGGTGCAATCGGTCACGAGACTCAGATCGTCCGTGAACCGGATGGTCTGCTGTGTAAATGAACTGACAGTATACACAGGTATATGCAGACACATCCACAATTGTTAGAACAATATTTATGTAAACGATCAATAGCAGGAACTGTGCTTATCTTTACGTGTCACGTTACCAGCTGAGTCTGGCCCAGGTTAAGGGCCAAGCTGCTGTTTTATTTTCTAAGCAATTCTGCTTCTACACGATAAATTCCTTTGTCCTTCACATGACACCATAGCACCTGGTATGAACTCTTCATAAATTACTGGTTCTAAATTCACTCGCATTTCATTATCCCATCAATGGCACGTTTAAGCATCCCACGCCACAGTTGCTGGTGACATTTTTTCTGTCTAGGACGTCCACAAATCCTAAAATCTAGCTGTCCTGTCTATTTCCAAGGTACATTACAAACGCAGCCCTGAAGGGCCCAAGACACTAGAGGGACTCTGGCCCGGCTTCCGCCTTAAATGGTCACGTGAGCGGAGCTGGCCTGCTGCGCATGCGCGCACCGAGCCTGCCGCGGTGAGGCTGGAGCTGCAGGGTCTCGGACTCGGCCGGCTGGAACCGGACCCCAACAGGACTGTCTCTGAGGCGCTCGCCCGAGCTGCTCCGGGTCCAGGCTCGGTTGCCTAGGTGGCCGACCGTGGAGGCGGAGCCGCTGCGGACGGCGTGCGGGGGGCGGAGCTCGGCGGGGCGAGCCGCCCATTGGCCGCCGGGCTTCCGTGAGCTTGCGGCGTCCCTCCAGGTGCGAGCCTCCCCGCGCCCGGCTGGCCCCCAGTCCCCCGTGCGCTTTTTTCCCAGGGATGCGTTAACCTGGCCGGGGCGAGCCACGGGGTCTAAAAGTTTTGGATTGACGATTGTAGTCTGTCGTTCGGTTGGTGGACGATGTTAGCATTTCTTTTTGCCACCAAAGGAGTGTTGTTGCAAGAAAGTTAAAAAAAGACTTTGTTCATCTGAAATACTGGTTGTTTTCTTTTTTCTCCCCCAGGTGCTCGTAGCTTTATTTTCCATGACAGATCTTGACGACAATACATGCAAAAAATATATAAAGATGATTACTAATATCGTAGTATTGAGCCTGATCATTTGCATTTCCCTAGCATTCTGGATTATGTCAATGACCGCTAGCACCTATTATGGTAAGTAGAAGTTGTTCTAGAAGCTTATGGGTGGAGATTAAAACTACCACTTCCAAATCCAAAAAGTACATCCTTTAAACGGTTAAGAGTGATTTTGTGTACTACCACAGCCTAAATTTGCTACCTTGACGAGAAAAACAATGTCTTGAGTATTTTACAGCCTTTTGTGATGGTTGTGATAATATTCATTATACCAGTTTCTGCCTCCCAGATGCTGGGATTCAGGGCATTCACTACGAAATTTTTTTAAGGATTATTTTGGTTTTGGTTTTTACAGGGCTGGCAATTGTATGTACAGTTTTGCATGTTCAGTGCAAGCGCATCAAACTCTTTGTTGTTGTTCTTTTATTGGGGTTGTTTGTTTCTTTTGATGTTTTGTTTCAAACTCAACTGTTTCTATCCCCTGTCTCTATGTTCTGGAATTATAATGGGCCAACACATCCAGAGAGATCTTTACAATTTCAAAACAGAGACTGAGGTAATGACTGTGAGTAAAGCACTTGCTGTGCCAGTCTGAGGACCTGGGTTTAAATCCCCAGAACCCACAAGAGGCTGGGCACAGTAGTACCCATCTATAACTCCATTGTTCGGGGAGATGGGAGGCCGAGGAGAAGTCCCAGGAGCCCTTGGGCCAACTCAAAGTTATCCTCTGACTCCACACACATGCACATTGCACACAACACAGCATAAATAAACATGCACTTTTTTTTTTTTTTTTTTGAGAAAGGCTTTATATAAACCAGGCAGGCATGAAACTTAAAAGAGATCTGCCTGTTTCTGCCTTCCCGATTCTGGGATTCAGGACATTCATTACAATGCCTGGTGCACACACAAAATTTGTTTTTGAGTTGTGAAGCTGGTTTAGAACATGTCTATACAAACTTACTTGTTTTTAAAGGCTTAGTTATTTTAAGGCTTAGTTATTAAGTTATTTATTTGTATTAGTGTTTGCCTGCATGTTATGTACTTGCACCAGATGCTTGCCTAATGCCTAAGGGGTTAGAAGGGAGCTTTGGATCCCCTGGAACTAGAGTTACAGATGGATTGTGAGCCACCATGTGGATGCTAGGAATCAAACCTGGGTCCTCTGTGAGAACAAGTGCTCTTAACCTTTGAGCCAGTTCTGCAGCCCATAAACTTTCTACTTATTCCTACAGAACTGGAATAATACTGGTCAGGTCACAGTTCACAAACTAAGGAACAAGTGGAAGGGAAAGTGAGAATGTATGCTCCTAAAAGTGGTTGTGTCTTGGTACTAAAGAAGAAAAGGAGTCCTCTGTTAGCTACATGCAGATGAAGCCTGAGACCTCTGGAATAAAAGTGAAAAGAGAGAGCAGGACACGGTTTTGAGAAACACCACAATTTACTGTTAGAGAGAAAGGACATAAAAAGAACCATTAGCATGCTCAAATATAAAAATCAAGGGAGAGAAAAAGGGAAAAGCAACCTGAGAATATTTTCAGCGAAATGTATAAAATAGCCAGTTGTTTTTGTTTTTGTGGGAATAAATGTTCAGTCAATAACAAAAACTATATTGAACACCCCCAAAAATTGCTTATCTGATTTCAAGAAAAAATGTTTTCGTCTTAAATGATTAACATTTCAGGACATGGTCCTTTAGCAGAGAGAGACTGTTCATTCATAAAGATACGCTGTGGAGGAGGTATGGAGGGGAAGGAAACAAGAACATGCTTATATAAATAAGTAGAACAAGCCAGGGACAGGAGAAATGGCTCAGCTGTTGAGAGCACTGACTGCTCTTCTAGAGGACCAGGGTTCAGTTCCAGCACCCACATGGAAACTCACAAATGTTTGTAATTCCAGTTCCAGGGGACCCGACACCCATGGCAAAACACCAATGCACATACAATATTTTTAAAAAGAAAGAAAGTATAATAAACTAGGATTTCTAAACTGGTCTCTTCCACTAGGGTCAAACATGGAATGCAAATGAATGAAGCTATAGCTTCACTTCCCGGAATAAGATTTTTCCTATGTTTTGTTGATCAGTTGGCCCTCTTGGATTTTTAATTTTCTATTTCCTGGTTTTGTTGTTTCTTATTTGGCTTTTGAGATAGGGCTTCTTTTGAAATAGCCCCGGATGGCCTGGAATTCATTGTGTAGACCTGGCCTTGGACTTGTGATCCTCCTGTGTCTGTCTCTTGAGTGCTGGGTTTACAGGCCCATGCCAGTACACTTAGCCCTTTCCTCATTTTTTTGACAGAAATGTGACTGTAAGCATTAGTTCCATGTTTTTCCTTAGGATAAAGAAATCCCTCAGTCATAGTGTTTATCAGAAGGTGATCAAATACGGTGGTAACTCCATGGCCTGTGTGAAGGAGATGACCCCTGTTTCTTGGCCTTCAGTTAGTTCTGCCATGTGTGCCAGAGTATCTAGCTTAAACAAAATGAAGAACCAGAACTTTCACATCAAATCTTCTAACTTTTTTTTAAAGATTTTATTTATTTATTATGTATACAACATTCTGCTTCTATGTATATCTGCACACCAGAAGAGGGTACCAGATCTCATAACGGATGGTTGTGAGCCACCATGTGGTTGCTGGGAATTGAACTCAGGACCTCAGGAAGAGCAGTCAGTGCTCTTAACCTCTGAGCCATTTCTCCAGCCCCCTAACTTTTAATATTAACTCAAAAGATTTAAAGATTCAGTGTCAGCCAAACAAAACAGCTTTGGGTTTTGTGGTCTTTGGGTAAATTGACTTGTTGTCTGTCAGAATATTATTAAAATAATCTCTTTGAAAGAGAGAAATAATTAGATGCTAATAAGTTTGTCTCAAATTTAATATATGCCTCCTTTTTAAAAAAAAATAAAAATTAAGGAGCCAGTGATTTATTTCCTATCTCCAGATACTCATGTGTGTGATATTATCATAAGAAGCTGTAAATGGTTTTCGACACTTGAACATAGCAGAGTGGGCCTCACCCCAGGAAGATTGTTCCTCTGACAGTATTCAAGTCTGAACATAAATATTTTCCTTGGGAGACTTCATCAGTTTCTCTACTTAGGATAGTATTTTAACCCAGAACTCACTTTATGAAAGCTTAATGTTAAGAGTGACCTACGCCGGGCTAGGTGGTGCACACCTAATCCCAGCACTCGCTTTTAATCTCAGTACTTGGGAGGCAGAGGCAGGCAGATCTCTGTGAGTTCAAGGCCAGCCTGGTCTCCAGAGTGAGTGCCAGGGTAGGCTCCAAAGCTACACAGAGAAACCCTGTTTCGAAAAACCAAAAAAAAAAAAAAAAGAGTGACCTATGCAAGAGTCAAGCCACCTGTTGTCCAAGCCAAGAGCCAAGAATCTCTTTGCAGTTTGGTACCTGCTAGCAAAGGGAAAATCAGTTTTCCCCAATGGCGTTTCACTGCATATATCAACCATACTACAGGGCAGGCCCAATGCCTCAGAGGAGTCGGCTAACAAAATGAATTCCATGGTATTCTTGTGGTCTTTTTTATCTCATTTTGGCATTCTTTTGTCTCATTTTTTTTTTTGGTTCATTTTTATTTTCATTTGTGTTTGTTTTTAGAGACTGACAGAATACAATGAGAGATGGGAATATCAGAGTATATTGTATAAAATTTTTTAAATATTTCATCAATAAATTTTTAGGAGACTAACCTATGCAGAAGTCACACTGTTTTCCATGTTTATAATTTTCCAGGTAACTTACAACCCATTTCTCTGCCTCTGTAACTTTCCAGGTAACTTGCGGCCTGTTTCTCCTTGGCGTTGGCTTTTCTCCATTGTTGTTCCTGTTATGATTGCCTGTAATGGCTTTAAAAAGAAAAGTCTAGATCACAGTGGGGCTTTAGGAGGTATGTTTTAATTTTGAATGCTTAAAATACTTATATCGTAAATATGTTATTTAATCTCATGTTTTCTGAATTCTGACTATGAATTTATTTTTTTTTAAACTTTTTGAAAGATAGGGTCTCACTATGTAGGCATAGCTGTCTTGGAACTCACTATATAGACCAGGCTGACCCTGAACTCACAGAGATCTGCCTGCCTTTGCCTCCGTAGTACTAGGAATAAAGGTGTGCTCCACTAGGGCTGGCTGTGACTGAACTGACTGAATTTCAACATTGTGCATCTCGGTGATTCAGCATTTCCATTCTGTGGAACTGCAGAGACAGATAGCCTTGCCAGTTTGTAATCCATGTGAATAGGCCAACAGGATTGCCCTCTGTGGTCCTTGACCTTGGCTCTTTTGTACTTGGTGTGGTCTCCTACTTGCAGAATTACTAGAACACTCCTTCTAGGTATAAAATGGAAGAGACAGAAAAATAACTCTTGGAAATTGCTACCAGTGATCACAAACAGCTTGGTTCAAACCTATTGTTCTAGGTGGCTTTTTAGAACTGAATTGGGCATAGGCTTTTATGTTATTCTTTATTTTATTTATTTTTATTCAGAAACAGGGTTTCCTCTGTGTAGCTTTGGAGCCTGTCCTGGAACTAGGCTGGCCTCAAACTCACAGAGATCTACCTGCCTTTGCCTCCTGAATGTTGGGATTAAAGGCGTGAGCCACCAACTGTTATTTTTTTATTTTTTGAGCACTTACTACTTTGTGCCACTGCTCCAGAAACAGAATAAAACTGACCAAGCACAATGCTTCAGTTCTCTTGGGTCATTTATTTTACTTTACTTTTTGTTTACTTCATTTTGTTTTTGAGACACTGTCTCAGGCATGGAATCTTCCTGCTTCAGCCTCCCAGGAACTTTTACTGTTTGTGGCTGGGGGATCATTAGATAGTAAATAAATGAAATGTATGTAAACTTATCAGACAGTATGAAGTTTATGTGGAAAAAAATGAAAGTATAATAAAGCATATATGTTAGAAGCTACAGGCAATTATCCCACCCTAGATATGGTCCTATGCTTTTCTCTAAGAAGACAATCTGGAACTATGACCCAGAGAAGCCAGCAATGGGAATGTTGAGAAGCAATTCTGGGCTGACAGAGTAACAAGGGCATAAACCCTAACATGTGGGTCCAACTTGTTTTAGAGTCAGAAGGTACAGCTCAGTCAGGCAAGTGGTAATAAGGACAGGGAAAGCAGTGAGAGAGAAAGCCAGAGAAATGTTAGGGCTAAGCAGGTCCATTCAGGCTGGTGTCCTCCAGTTTTGTCTCAAAGCAGGGGATTTCTAGCCTCAGATCAAAAAACCAACATGATGTGCATAGAAAAAGAATGTCCAGCTGGGCGGTGGTGGCGCATACCTTTAATCCCAGCACTCAGGAGGCAGAGGCAGGTGGATCTCTGTGAGTTCAAGACCAGCCTGGTCTATAAGCGCTAGTTCCAGGACAGCCTCCAAAGCCACAGAGAAACCCTGTCTCGAAAAACCAAAAA